GACGATTTAATAATGATCCAGAAAAAACATAAATTCATCTGAATTTAACAGAGGAACAAATCAACGATAACAAAACTGACAAAATTATTTATTTTATTAAAGATAGTTTCATGTTTTTTTTTTTTATTTAAGATGTTGCTGTAAGAAAAAATCCTGAGTCAGCATAAAGAAATCTCTCCTCACAATATTGAACAGAAATAAATGAGTCAAAGTCTGAAGATGAAGGTGAAGCTCCTCCTCCTCCTCAGTCTCAGTGTTGTATTAAATTGCTCCTCCAGCACCTCCTCTCCTCATCCTCAGATCTGTCAGCAGTCAGCTCACTTTCCAAGTTGTAAGGACGTTTACAGCACACACTGACAACATGCTGGGGAGCCTCTGCACTCTCATCACTGCTCTAACATGTAAGGAGGCTGACTTCCTGCAGCTTTCAGCTCATGTTGGATTCATCAGTCTGTGTGTTTCTCTTGACTCCATGTCATCTTGTTGTTTCCAGGTGTGAGTGCTGTTACCGTGGTGACACAGAAGCCTCCTGTTGTGACTGTGAGGAGAGGAGAGACAGCCAACATGGACTGTAACCTGGGGACTGTGACTGATGTTGGTGCTTGGTGGTACAAACAGATTCCTGGAGGAGTTCCTCAGTTTATTCTTTATTACCATCACAGCTCCAGCTCTCCAGATTATGGCTCTGGTTTCTCCTCTCCTAAATTCACCTCCACTCATCAGTCAAAATCAGATTATCGTTTGACCATCAGCTCTGTGGAGGAGGGAGACTCTGCAGTTTATTACTGTAAAACATATGACAACTCTGTCAGTGAGTTCGTATCACAGTGATTTACACCATGACAAAAACCTCCTTACTGTCACTTCTGCTTTTTCACATCTTGATCCTGAGACAGTCCTTCAGTGTTTTCTGTAGTTTCTTATTTTCTCTTTTTTAAACATTGAAACATTTAAACCTCTTTTTTACTGAGTCTTAAATCCACCTTATATCTTACTTGTATTGTCTGAACACAATAATGAAAATAAAACCTGAAAACAAACAAAACATTCACTTGTGAGGTCAACAGCAGAAGCTCAAGCTTTTAGTTCATCACACTGCTGTAAAAATCAAAGATGACATTAGATTCAAGATTTTGAATTGACACTGAAATTACAATGATTCTTATTATTTTATTTCTTTTCTACATGAGGCTTCAAACAAGCTGTTTTTTAAAAAACTTGAATATAGATCATTTTTCCAAAGGTTATCTCTGTGTCGGCCAACAAATGAGAAGACTCTGTCCAAAAGATTTCTATCAGCTGTAACTGACTTCAAAATGTAGAAACATGATCATGTTAGCAAAAACAAAAAGGCCTGTAGGGGGCGCTCAGTGAAACATTTTCATTCTTAATGAGAGAGAAAGTCCAGGAGCTGGATTCACTGACACAGAGATTCAGACGAGCTGGAGGATGAAGTCGTCTGGTCTGTGGTGATGGAGTCTTGATGGATTTTGACAACAGAGAGCAACAATGTCCAGACAGGACTGTGACCCTGTGGATGATGAAGACATGGTGGGGTGGGAGAGGAGTGAGAGGGATGTGGGGTCTTAGTTTGTGTCTGTGCACAGAGAAGTGAGAGGATGTTGGGCCAATCCACAGATATCAAACCCGGCACTAAAACCACCTCACTGCTGCCTTCACTCTTCAGACTGACCTCTGATGGATTTGTGAGTCGTGTTGGTGCTGACTCACTAACATCAGTGTTTCCACAGAGAGTCTGAAAGTCTTGACTTTTCCATCTGTCATTTTCTACATGAAAGAAACTTCAAGTCCAGGTGTAGGTGGGACTCACTGCAGGCTATAAGTGTCTAGAAACTGATTCTACCCTTGTCAGAAAATATCTTTTGATGAAAAATGTAAACAGTTAATTTAAGTCCTTAAATGAGCATGTAAACCCCCCGTGTGAGGTAAGTAATCTTTGTAAGCTAATAGGCTGTATCAAGTGTCAATCATAGAAAACATGAACCCCCAAATAACTTTTAAAAACTGAGCTGAACAAAAAAATTAAAATTAAATTTAAAATTAAAATTCTGTGTAATAAATTTTATAAAGTTTGTCCACAGCTCCATAGAAATGGCTGGAGGAGGCGGGATTTATGACCTATACTGCATCCCGTCACCAGAGGGTGCTGTTCTCAGGGTGGCTTCTCCCAGTCAGGAGGAAACGGTGTCCATTCTATATACAGACTATGGTGTAAATTCCTCCTCCTCCTCCTCCTCAGGGTCTTTATAAGCTTCAGTCTCTCTCCTCCTCCTCACACTCCAACCCTGCTCACCTCTCAGCTGGACAGTAAGGGACGTTTACAGCACACACTGACAACATGCTGGGGAGCCTCTGCACTCTCATCACTGCTCTAACATGTAAGGAGGCTGACTTCCTGCAGCTTTCAGCTCATGTTGGATTCATCAGTCTGTGTGTTTCTCTTGACTCCATGTCATCTTGTTGTTTCCAGGTGTGAGCGCTGTTACCGTGGTGACACAGAAGCCTCCTATTGTGACTGTGAGGAGAGGAGAGACAGCCAACATGGACTGTAACCTGGGGACTGTGACTGGTACTGGTGCTCGCTGGTACAAACAGATTCCTGGAGGAGTTCCTCAGTTTATTCTGTATAACTATCACGGCCGGAGCTCTCCACTTTATGGCTCTGGTTTCTCCTCTCCTAATTTCACCTCCACTCATCAGTCAAAATCAGATTATCGTTTGATCATCAGCTCTTTGGAGGACGGAGACTCTGCAGTTTATTACTGTAAAACATGGGACAGCTCTGTCAATGAGTACGTATCACAGTGATTTACACCATGACAAAAACCTCCTCACTCTCACTTCTGCTTTTTGGGTCTCTGACATATCTACTAACACTCACTCTAGCTTCCTAACACAGGATTAAAAAATAACCACCTTCTATTTTCTCACAGTCCTTTTGATTGACTAACAAACTCACATTTTTCTCTTTATTTCAATTTCACACTCATCCACATTGTGACTTTCTGCTGATTTAATTCTCATATTTGAGGCTTTAAGTTTCTGATCAGCTCATAAAACAGAATAAACTCTGTACAGTCAGTTTAATGAAACAGTATTACATTGAGATTGTTTCAGACTCTTCAGTCAAAAGTTTGTTAGAAATAAATGAACAAACAGAAGAAGTTTGAAAAGTTCAGCTGAAACAATAAAGAGTTAAACTTAGAGGACTAACAGCTTTTTGTCTTCTTGACTGTGACCTTTGACCTCTCCTTAAAAAACAAAACAAAGCTCACCTATGAAATTTTTGACATCAGTTGAGTTGTTTTCCATCCAGACATTGATTATTTATACTTTCACATCATTAATAATCGAAAAAAAACTGTCAGTATAATGATGCCTATTTTTTTTTACAATGTCATTTATTTGATCAACCCTTTTTTCATCATTAAGAAAGGGGCCACAAATCTAACTCCACCTCCTCCTCCTCCTCCATCTCCATCTCCTCCTCCTCTTCCTCCTCCTCCTCTTTATAAGCTTCAGTCTCTCTCCTCCTCCTCACACTCCAACCCTGCTCACCTCTCAGCTGGACAGTAAGGGACGTTTACAGCACACACTGACAACATGCTGGGGAGCCTCTGCACTCTCATCACTGCTCTAACATGTAAGAGATTCTTCTCAGTCCTTTACCACACCATCATTTCACACACACACCTTTGACTCTTGTCTTTTTCTCTTTTTTTTTTTACAGATGTTGATGCAGTGATTGTTCTGACCCAGACTCCTGCTGTCCTCACAGTTTCTCCAGGACAAGAGGCTGTTCTCAGATGTAACATTCAGAGATATGATAATGTGTATGTCTACTGGTACAAACAGGTTCCTGGTGAAGCTCCTCAGTATGTTCTGTACTTTTACCATGGAAGCAGTTCACTCAGCTTTGGATCAGGATTCTCTTCAGACAGATTCAACTCTAAATCCACATCAAACATAGATTATCAGTTCATCATAAAGAGAGTAGAGGCAGGAGACTCTGCTGTTTATTACTGTCAGACATGGGATAACTCTGCTCAAGAGGACGTATCACAGTGATTTACACCATGACAAAAACCTCCTCACTGAACACTTCCGCTTTTTTAGAGTCTCACACATTTACTATTGCTTCCTACAACCACATTTACTCTGCAGCATCACAATACACCCGACTCAATAATGTTTAATAATCCCACTTTAATCACACTTTTAACCTGGAGTAAGTGCAATTTAAACAGATATGTCACAAGTTTTTATCAAAATGGGAGTGTACAAGTATTGTATTATGCAAAAGTTTTTATAACCATAATTATTTCAACAATTCAAAACTGACAAACCCCATCCTCAAAAACTCCTCCAGAATAATCTGGAAGGTTTTGTCTGATCCAAATATATGCAGAGAGTTTTACATGACTAAATCCTACAGTGACAACAGATGAGCGCACCGACCTGACTGTAACATCACATGCTGATACTAACACAATGCAGAGACAAACTCCACACTGACAAAGATCATCTTTACACCTCCTTTTTTTCTAAACAGCTAAACACAAAATGATCGATCTCACAGCTGAGTATAAAGATTTTATCCACATTGATGCCATGATTGGTTCAGCTAATCCACCCGGTTTTTGATCAGTCCTTTTTCTGAGTTTTCCGGACTGTTTGTGAGGAATAATGTCGCTTTAACTGTTTTTCTGTTTCTACAACACAAACTTTATTCTAAGTTTCATTACCTTTGCTGCTCTGCGTAGGACCTTTACAGGTCAGCAGATCACAAGTACAGCCTCTGGTTGGTTGACAGTCCAAAACAAAGATAGCAGCCTCCGTTTCAGCAGTCAGCTAACAGCTCTCATGTAGATTATGTCATTTAAAGTAGTATTAATCACATATGACTGTCATTTTAGAGTGATTGGATCTGAGTCAAGAACGACTTTGGCATTAGTCCGAGCTGAACGTCATGGAGTGAGGGACATATAAGTGAGTAACATCATGAACCGAAGCAGAAAACTGATCATGAAAGTGTTTCACTAAAGCCAAGTGAGAGAAAAACACAGACTAAGGCCCGGACAACACGTATATAGATATTTATTTATTAGGATATTTTTGTACTCCCGTCTAAATAAATGTATCTGTCCACACGTTTTAGTTCTCAAAAATATCTGCGTCCACATGTAGCCTTCAAAATCAACCCTATCTGGTGCCGCTTAAAAGCAATTCAGGAACAAAGCTACCTGATTGGCCGATGAATCATAACAGCGTGTTGCGTCATGCATTGTTTGCGGAAGCTACGCTAGTGCGTCGGGTCCATGTGACGGTATGGCGGCTATAACGCCTCTGTGAGCTGACTGACCGGTGACTGTAATTGTATAAAACAAGGTTCACTTGCAAGGCTGAAATTAGCACCACAAGGGCAAAACAAACGTAAAGCATACCCTGTATGTCCGCCATCTTTGTTGTTGTTGTTCTTTTTAATTCGCATGCGCGAGCTGCGGTTTGTCGTCATCGATCCGTAAAAGTTCAACCACACGAATCCACTTATACGGATATTTTTTTATTTCTCCACTTGGTTTTTCGGATTCAGATTTATGAGTGTGTGAGTGTTCCAAACTCCCGTTTTGGTGAGGCCTAATCGGACATAAATATGTGCGGTTTGAAATATATCCGCATTCGTGTAGTTTGGGCCTTAGATCAGGTGTGTCGTACACTAGTAGAGCTGAGTTATGAAAACTACTGAGACTAGATGAATCAGGTCTTGTAAGAGCATTCTCAGACCAGATCTAAAATGAGAAACTGTGTCAGCAGATCACAAAGAGCTGTTATACAGTTATGTAAATTGTGACAAAAACAGAGAAAGAGAATCTGTAAAATTTGTGTCAGTATTGTGCAAACAGGAGGGAAACAAAATTTTATTTAGGTGGAACTGGCCAATACTACTGAGAGAAAAAAAAATGCTTTTATTAAAAAACACATGATGTTTTGAAAGTCACATTACTTCTTGTAAATATGCTCTACAGGTGAAAGAAACTATTGAACTGCTGTTGGGATTAGACTTAAAGTTAAGAAAAATGGACTGTTCTGGAAATGAGCATGAAAAAAACCACATGATGGATCAGAGTGGTATAACAATACAGCTGAGTGCCTGAACTCCTCCTCCTCCTCTCCTCAGGGTCTTTATAAGCTTCAGTCTCTCTCCTCCTCCTCACACTCCAACCCTGCTCACCTCTCAGCTGGACAGTAAGGGACGTTTACAGCACACACTGACAACATGCTGGGGAGCCTCTGCACTCTCATCACTGCTCTAACATGTAAGGAGGCTGACTTCCTGCAGCTTTCAGCTCATGTTGGATTCATCAGTCTGTGTGTTTCTCTTGACTCCATGTCATCTTGTTGTTTCCAGGTGTGAGTGCTGTTACCGTGGTGACACAGAAGCCTCCTGTTGTGACTGTGAGGAGAGGAGAGACAGCCAACATGGACTGTAACCTGGGGACTGTGACAGACAGAAGAGTTAACTGGTACAAAGAGATTCCTGGAGGAGTTCCTCAGTATATTCTGTATAACTATCACACTCTGAGCTCTCCAGTTTATGCCTCTGGTTTCTCCTCTCCTAAATTCACCTCCACTCATCAGTCACAGACAGATTATCGTTTGACCATCAGCTCTGTGGAGGAGGGAGACTCTGCAGTTTATTACTGTAACACATATGACACCTCTGCTAATAAGTACGCATCACAGTGATTTACACCATGACAAAAACCTCCTCACTCCCACTTCCGCTTTTTTTTGTTATTTTTTCAGTTAATTTCACTTCTTTTCTTCCTTGGTGGTAAAGTTTAGATCCACTAGACCATCAGGACTACATCTGATAGGACCAACTTCTCATAGAGGTCATATGTGCAGGATCTTAAAGGGACATTTTTAACACAACAACATACCAACCAGTGGAGCAGGACAGGGAGAAACAGTGACCCACTGATGATGAATATGAGATGAAGAAAATCATTCTTGCTGATTTGGAAAAATATCACCCATTCTTGAGAGTCGGGACAAAACATGTCCTACATAAAAAAGTCTAATTTATTCAAAACAATTAAGAAATTCTAAATGTTTGACATACTCAAAAAGTTAAATCTAATGGATTTGTGTATACCAATCCTATTTTTTAGCACAGATATTTACTTTTTTGGGGGATATTTGTTTAAATGAAACGTCTGTGGTTAGAAGGTCCATGTTATTGCTTGTGTCCTCAGCAAGAGGTCACAATATTGACCAGCCCCAAAAAACTTTAAAAAACTCTATAATTGTGAAAACATATACATCAAATAAAAATTCAGGGCTATAAATATATAAACAATGAATGGCCTGAACATCAAATAACTTTTTGCCTAAAAATCTGCCTATCAAAGTTGTGTCCTCAGTTTCTGTCAACTCCATCAGATTATTCTATAAACCTCATTAAATCATGCAATATCATGGTCAGCTATATCCCTGGGGACCCCTTTTCATTTCCTGCTTCTGGTGAATGCAACACCACCACACATGGTCTGGTAGGTTTTACAGTTTTTGATATTTTAGAGAAACAATGTCAATATTTTTATGGTCACAGCTGGACCATGTCAACACCGTCTCTCCATTATTATACTTTTTTTAAACCATAGTGAGTTCAATTAAAGTATTTTAGTGAGATTATCAGGACAGCTAGCAACTGCCAAAAAAGTAGCTAGCTGCACTGTACAATAAATGTTTTGGAGGGAAAATACATGCCCTTACGTCAACTCCGTCAGGCGTCAACTCCGTCAGATTTTGTGTCTGACGGAGTTGACATGTAAGCTGATGGAGTTGACAAATCCACCTATAACCTCTTAATGTGCTGACATTATGCTATTTTTGAACATGGTTAAGGATAACAATGTTATTCCAGGGTCTTATCTGCACATAAAAGTACATATATAGCATACATTACGTTATTTTACCGTATACTTCAGTTTTGTAGAGTAGACCATGGGCAGGCTGTCTGCTTAATTATAACTGTCAAACTTTCCCAACACACACACACACACACACACACACACCTAATCTCATTGATTGATTGATTAATGTCCAATCCTAAAGGTGCAGTATGTAATTTTCACTACCTAAAATCTACACACTGGCTTCTTATAGAGTGCGCAAGAAGTTCTATGTTGCTCTTTTAAACCCCAGTGTAGGTGGGATACCAGTTAGAAGAAAAAGGTTATTATTTTTACATTGTTAACTTGGACCCTCAGACCTTGGGCTCTATTTTTGTGTCCACCGGCGACATGGCGGAGGGTGGTGAACCCCGCGCAGTGGCATTTTCGTCTGGCGGAGCTCAGCGTACAGCCAGTTTGGTATTTTCGTGGACTGAGGTGCACCGAGGTCCGCCAGGCTGGGCGTGGATGTGTGGCAGGGTGAGGTGTCCACAGAATCAGCTGGTGCAGCGACATTTTCGTACTTGTTGCCGGCGTGTAAAGTGCGCTGAAAGCTTGCAGATTCAAACCTGGTCAGCTTTCAGCACAGGTGGATCTGGATGGGCTAGTGGTATTTTGGGAGACTGGCGGCATATCGGCCTCACCAGCAGGTTTCCACAGTGTCAGGAACATTTCCGTGCAATAAATAATCAATAACAACTAATAATCTGTGTCAGCACATACATTTAGATCTATATCGATTTATTCTGATCTATATCTGATCTGATGAGCGCATTTGGCACGCGTTTGGACACTCAACCTGACCAAATTAACACAGCTGCTGAATCCGCATGAAATTGAATCAAATATCTAGTAAATAAACACACATGATGAAGTTAACAAGATATTTAATTTGTCTGCCCCCATTTCTAGCTTCCTCTTCCTCTTATTTCTCGCGCAGCTCAACCTGGACATGTCTCTGTGTCCTCTACCCGTCCTGCTGCAGCTGCTGCTGCGGCAGCTGAACAGATGATTTGTTCCAGTGATCAGATGAGTTTTTTACTTTAAGCCTACATACAAATATTATAATAATCAGTTTTGTGAGCCAAATTTATTTTATATGCCAACATCTATGAAAGAAAGAGCCAGGCCACGGAGCGCGATTTACACACAGATTGGTTCCGATTTTAATGCCATTATTGGAATTTATGTTGTGACCTTTGCGCACAACCCACCTTTGTCACGTGAGGTTTAAATATATGCAATTTAATGTGATTGTCTTTATTTGTGGAAAAGGGTGTTTGTCTTACCAGTGGGTCCAACATTACACACACCAAATCCATCTGTGCTTATATGAGACAGTGTGAAGGACGCCCAATGCAGCGCTTACAGTGACACTTGTTAAGGAGCTGCCTTCTGTCTCCATCGTGTGGCATTGCTGTCTTCAGACATCTCTTGATCTCTTTGACTACTTCACGAAAATGGTAATACGCCTCGCTAGTGGCGGATTCAAAGGCGAGAAGAGCTGATGTTATTGGTCAATACAGGTCTCAGCTGTGTTTAACCCACTCCACGCCCTCTCTCCTCCCTCCCTATGACCTACGCCGCTGGAAGGAGCTGAGTTAGGGGAGGGGGGATACTTATGCCGGGCTGCACAACTAACCAAAATTTGAAAATGTGCTTGGAAACGCCTTGTCGGCGCGGTGGTTAATTGCATTAACGTTATGTTCAGTATGAAAACAAGGAGTTATTAGTTCTTAATCTATTTTCACCTATTGACCTATTGTCAATCGGTTTAAAAACACATTTGTTCAATAACATATGCAATGTCATTAACTCCGTCAGTTTCTCGTCAACTCCGTCAGGTGTTCGTCAACACCGTCAGATGTATGTTTTTCTTCAATTTTGGAGAAAAAAAAAATTGTTTCTTCAGTTTATATTGTTTAAGTAATAAAGGAGCATTGGCTCTACATCCTCTTGTGTCTTATTTACTTACAGAAATTGTTTTTATAATATAAAAATTAAAAACAAAGTTTGAAAATACAACTATTTAGAAATCTTGGTTTTCAAAATAGTGTGAAATCACACATTAGGTTTATATATTATATTTCATGGCATATCAGAGTAACTAAACACTATTACAACATACATCAGAACTTTAGATTCTTGTTGGACTAGAATTATTAAAATTATATTCTTTTTTGTGTGTCTGATGGAGTTGACACAAATTCACTGTCTAAGGGAAACATGTTAATTTATAGAAAAAATGTTTTTATTTAGAGCCTGTTCCTTTA